TTTGCACCTCCCAGGGCTGTCCCTTGGGGGGGGGGGGGGGGTGCGAATTGGGACAACCACCTCGGGTCCTGCGCTTTGGGGGGGCCCCATGGAGTGGGGCAGAACAGCAGTGGCACAGAGCGGGGCAGAGCAGGGGCTCCATGTCCAGCCACTCACTACCCCTCCCCTGTTGCCGATGCCACTGCCAATGGTGACGGCAGCAGCTTCTTTAGTCTGGGGCTTATGGGATCGAGTGGGGGCGGAGCCCTGCATGGGCTGATTTGCCCCAGGCCCCATACCCACACCTGCACCCTGCTCAGGTCAGCTCTGCATACTTCTCATATAATAAAATGTTCATAGGTTGTTTTATATTAAACCATTATTAAACCAATCTGCAACCTAATTATGTAAATTAGTTGCAACACACTTGTACTTTCACCTACTGGTTCTTTAATTCATATGTTCAGAGGAGGCAGTAAGGAGTCATCTGACTTTCATATTAGCAGTCTAATATCCGAACTGAACAAACTTCCTTTTTCATTCACTGTAAACGTCTAAACCTAGAATAACTCTTCTGTCTTTAAAAGGAAGTTTGAGCAGATACAACCTGATGAAAGCCACAGTTTTGGGGTTTTTTTTAAACATTGTATTACTACTGGCTCCAGAAATCCTTTTGGAGTTCCAGCCCATATATGTCAGAACTTGATAAGGAGGCTAATGGCCTGAGTTGGTTGATGAAGATGAGTTGGCACTTAATGAAATCGCATTCAAAAGCCCTACTTACGAAGACTAAGTACAACAAATAATTATTGTCATCCCTTTCACTTGGTCTGCTTTTTAAGTTTGCTTGCCTTTTTAGCCAGAGGTTAGAGTGCAAAACATCACTTTGGACTTCAGGTAACCGACTTTATGTGGTATATTCTTCACTGGAAATGCAATCTAACAAAAATTGGCTTGTCAGAGAATTCTGTAGTTCAGGGCTGTCCAGCTGGCAGCCTGTGGCCCCTAGTTGCCACTTGCCTAACTGCCACGGGGCAAGAGAGAGCCCTGATGTATACGTTCTGCCTGCGTTGCTTGCTCAGCAGAGGGCAAGGGTTGCGTGCCCTTAGTTTATCCCCTGTGGTGGTGGAAGTTACTGAGGAGGACATTGGTGGGGTTGGCCACCCCAGCAGTGTGCAGCTAATGGCATGCAATCTAGAGGCTGCCTGTAAGCATAGGCAACATGTAGAAGGGGCATGGGGGGACGTTCCCCACCTGAGGTTGGCCACTGCTGCTGGCTTCTGTGGGCAGTCACCGCTCACGCCTGCTCGCCACCAGCACGGCCAGCCTCTGTTCGCTGACACCAGCAGATGCGGGCAGTCCCCACTCACCACCTCTGATGCTGGCAGCTGCGGGCGGTCCCTGCTCACCACCATGGTGCCCCCCCAG